ATACTAATGAGTTTACAATGACTTTATTTTATTATGCATTGCACAGTTTAGTCGCACATTGCAACATACGCCTGTGGGGTGCTAAAGCCAGTGTAATTCTCTATAGAGCTCCTCTGTTTAATTCCACTGGTGTGTTCCAGATGTGTCCTCTGTCCTTTTGTGTCACGGTGGGGCTAATTGTTAGTGTTTTCTATTTCTCTTTGAGTTGCACATTTCCCAGAAGTACCATTGTCTGGGCAAAACCACTAATTACCTCATGTAATTAGACATAAATTGTGGTGCGCAACACTGTCAAATGGTACTTTAGTGGCGTCAACCTACTATGTTTAAGAGTGTCTACAGATATAGATTCATCAGTAGAAAGGACTGTTTTTTTAATTAAATGGATTAGGGTAATTCATGTTAATTAGAGTGCCACAACAAACATATGCTAATTAACACTAGGTGACATCAGAAATGTGCTACACATAGAAAAGGTCATTATCATATAATATAATCATTTTAATCCTTAAAGAAAAAAGTTTGTGTGGTAATTATGCCCTCGTGGCCATTTTGCATGAGGTAAGTCCCCGTTTTGTTTGTTTTAGTGCACTTTGGGGAAATTATTTGCTTTATTGATGACAGTCTCAATTACAACAACATTGAAATCACGTTCAAGTTAGAAAGTCAATTCATTCAATAAGATGAGACTGTTCACAGGCCAAAAATTGTGTCTTGTCATTGTGTATATTTGCTAAAAATTGCTTAAATCACCTTTCTTTCCCATTCTGACATTCAGTTTGGAGTTCAGAAGATTGTCTTGACCAGGACCACACCCCTAAATGCATTGAAGCAACTGCCATGTGATTGGTCGATGATTAGATAATTGCATTAATGAGAAATTGAACAGGTGTTCCTAATCATCTTTTTGGTGAGTGTATAATTAATGAATAATATTTGTATATATTATATTATATAATAAATAATTTGTTATAGCTTTTCAATATGAATAAGTTAGTATGATTAGCTATACCAAAATATTTACATGATATACAGTCTACAGAAAAATCATAAATAAGAAATGTTGTGGTGTTGTAGTTATGTAATTTGCACTAAAGGTTAATGAAGCTTATTGTCAGGCCAACTGTTTGTGTGCATGTGTACATAAACTTGCTGCAGGACACATCACCATGTTATGCATCACAATCGCTCTCTAAAGCCGAAGGCAGGCAACGTCGCAGTGTGTGCTGCAATTTTGAAAGAGACACTATTAGGTTTCTCCAGGGGACATTTGTGTTTTATTTATGGCTCAGTGGATAGAGTGGTGGTAAGACTTGCATTTCATTTTGTCCTAAAAATTCCTCAGGAGAAAAATTAAAATCACTGCTGACATTATGTAGTCTTTTGGAAATTGATGACAATTCCTGAAATATTATATACATATACTATTATTTTATTGTTGTTATTTTTTTTTTAATTCAGTTTTTTTATGCGACAATGTAAAGTTGAACCAGCATAATACAGCATGGCTCTTTTATGCCTGATTATGGAGACAAATCTAGGGAATAAATCTTGTGAAATATGAGTTTGTGTATGCAATTTTACACACACATCATGCTTTCACCATTACTGTACAGTTTCTTCCTCTGTTTCTTCTGGATGTTGGCCTGTATTGGGCATTAGAAGATGTACAACCATCCCTATCACCAGTGTTGTAGTCGAGACCACCTCACTCGAGTCCGAGTCGACACCGAGACCAGAGAGAGTCGAGTCCGAGTCAAGACCGAGTCCATAGAGAGTCGAGTCCGAGGCCAGAGACGGTCGAGTCCGAGTCGAGACCGAGACCAGTGAGGGTTGATTACCTAATTTACTTTTATTTACTTAGAGAAATCCTTTTTTTTATTTTACTGAATTTACTTAGAGTTTTAAAAAATATGATCAGTTTAGGGTAAAAAGGCCACATAGTAGGTGGTGTTAAAAGTAATTTTATTACAATTTGTCATGCGCAGTTGCGCACTAGAAAATCACCAATCACTGGGCGTGTCAATCAATTTAAAGAAATATTTTATTAACATACATTAATAATCATGAAAAATATATTGAATTGAACTCGAGTGGACTCAGGAATAATTCCGAGTCCTAAAAAAAAAAATGTTCGAGTACGAGTCAATTCCGAGTCCAAATGGACACGAGTCCATGACAAGACCAAGACCATTAAAATATGGTTTCGAGACCGAGTCCGAGTCTCGAGTACTACAACACTGCCTATCACAGAGGAAAACACTAGTATTTTACAAGGTGGCGATTTTGGGTGAATGGAACATATTAATTTTTGAAAAAAGCTACCCCTGAACATGACCTTCAGTGGAGCATAAGCAGTTCATATGAAAATGTACAAATGAGAATGTAAAACAGTTTCGAACAGACATGAGACTGTGTTGGTACAGTTTAACTCTTCATAAGCTTTACACCAAATGTCTTCAATACTGACATTTGGGCTGAAGAAATCCTGTGTAGTGAAAATTACATTCTAGTATACTTTTACTATTTTGCAACGTATTCTCATCCTAGGGCGTCATCTAACTAACACTTTTGACCATGGGTCTAATGTTGATGCATGTTGGATGTTGACGCATGGTCAAAAGCGTCAGTTAGATGACGCCTTGGGATGAGAACGGGCTGTCTTTTTCATACTCTTTTGCACATTAGAGTCACGTTGTGAGATATAAAGAGAAATACATTTGCAATTTTGAAAAATAAAATCACATTACGAGAACTAAAGAAACAAAGAAAAAGGCTGCATTTGTGGTTGTCTGGGCATAGTTGCAAAGAAGACGAGGTGAGCAGATCTATTTGCCAGCAGTCTTAGATTTTATTAACAAAACCTCCAAACAAAATACTCAGGATACATACAATAGAAACAACAATAGGACAACCGTGACGAGAACAGACAATGAACCGAAAGAAACACAGAGCTTAAATAAACAACCAAACCAGTTAATGAAATGAAGTACACATAGCTATACCCAAAACAGAAACACTCATCCATTACAGTGATATGATTTTGTGAATAACAAGAAAGTCACAACTCAATATTAGAATAGATTACTGAGGTAAATTAGTAATATTCTGTGATAAAGAATATCATATACCCTTATGGTTTTTTCAGTTGTTGTCTTAGTCTTGCTGAAAAAACAATATAAGAAAGAAAAAAAGAGATGTGAAACTTTTAAGCAGAGAAATACACAGTTTTCAAGCCGGCACGTCCATGTTTTGAGTACCATTAATTTTTACAACAACTAATAAAATACATGTTCCCTTCTTCTTCAAAAACCCAGAAGCACTTAATATTCTGCCACTTGGTTTATTCAAGGTTGAGAGTATTAAAACACACATAATGTATGCAAATCATAAAGTGATTACTCTTAGATGAAATTAGATGAAATTATAAGCTGTGCAGCATTAAAGAGCCTGTGGGCATGTCAAATCTGAAGAGAAATTGTGTTTGAATCATAAACCAATACATAAATAAAAACCTTTCATGTGCTTTGGAACATGTGGGGAAAAATTACAATTATAGATAAAATATGCATTAGGGACCATCACAATAAAGAGTTAGCGAGAGTCAATGTTCAGAAATAATTCATTATTATTATGTTTTTTAATGTTGTATAGATGTATTTCCCGGTGTGTTCGTTCAAAAAAACTAAAAATAAAATAAAAATGCCATTATTTTATATGAAATAGTTGTATATTTTTGAGAACATATATTAGTTTATCTTGTATATTTTTAGATCAGATATAAAGCATTTAAAGCTTATGGTCATGTTACAATGTGCCCCAACTATGGGGCATGTTGTCACATTTCACTTCCATTCTTTCGGGGTATACCAAGAAAAAAGTATACGCTGTATTAATAAAACAAAACCACATATTTGTAGACATGTGAAATTAATTTGGGAAAAAATAAATATTCTGAACCCTAAGTAGATTTACACAAACTGAGAAAGTCAAAAAATGTTAAGTTGTTCCCCGCTCTCCCCTCTTTTCAGCATGACTACAGATTATTAAAACATAAAAGATACTTTAAATCAAAAATTTGTAAAACGGTGTTATTACAAAATGCACTTTTTAAAACATTCATGAAGTGTACTCTCTTTAAGATATGAAGCAGGCTAAACTACAAGTGCACATTCAATACAATTAAGCACAGTTCTTTTTTGAAAGGGTAGAAATAATCTTTAGACTAAAGCCCTTTTTTTAAACACTATTGAGTTTTAGAAGGTAATTAACACCAAAAGTTATCAGTTGGCTTAGGACTGATCTTAACCAATTTCACTACAAATCAGATCTCCTGTAATCAGCTTCTACCTGCTCAATATTCAATTACCTGAAAGACTTTTAGTGAATCAAAACCAAAACTGTGGCGGTGTTTAGATTAAAGGTACAATATGCAGGATTTTCCACCCCTAGGAGTCGCTAACCTCTTACAATAACAAAGGAGTATATTAATGACGTATTCCGCATTATCATGCCCCTTTTTACAAGATGTAATATTGGTCTCGGGTGTCCCCAGAATGTATTTGTGAAGTTTCAGCTCAAAATACCCCACAGTTAATTTATAATAACCATTTGAAAATGTCATTTTTGGGGCCTGTTTAAAAATTAGCTGTTTTGGTGTATACCACCTTAAATGCAAATGAGCTGCATATCCCCGCCCTGCCTTTGGATGAGGGCGTCACTTGATACCTATGGCAGTCGGTGTAAGCAGAAGGACTGAGAGAGTGAGAGAAACCGCTGTTTTGAATGTCATTCATTTAATTTTTCGTATGCTCAAACACCATGTAAAAGTAAATTTTCCATAATAGGTGCCCTTTAAGCAGAACAATGGATCTTGTTGTCAACCTGATGGATCTTTTATGGATGAGTGAATACAGTGATGACTGTGGTGTGAAGCCCATCCCAGACTGGAGTGGTGTGAAGCCCATCCCAGGTGATGTTCCACCAGCAGGAGGTCTTACCAGGGTCTCTATTTTGGAGCCCATCCTGGCCCAGCAGTACCATCAGGGTCTACCTGTTCAGCTGAAAGCAAACATTTTGTTGTTTTTTGTTATTCCAATCTGTTTTACGTAACCTTAAATTAAATTGTTAAATTTGTGAAAAGAACTTGAAATAAGTTTCCTTTTTAAATGCAAAAAAAAAAAAAAAACTAACGTAAACTTGCATAACAAAAATAAACCATTTACAAAAATGGCCTTGCCTCATTTACAAATAACTTAAAGGTGCCATCTGGGATAAAAAATAAAATCATACGCCATATTCCATACCAAATGGGGGCAGTATACCTCCAGAAAAATACCTCCGCGGCCGCGCGCACTCATGTCTTCAAACAACACGGGCGAGCGTGTCAATTGACACGATAGTAAAAGGTTGGAAGACCGCAGTTTCATGTGGATCATTTGGAAATTTTCAGAGATTAGAGACTAAATGAACAACATCTCAATACTAAATTATAAAGGCCGGTGCATTTCGACGATATGGGAAAATTAAAGCCCAGGCATTTCTAGTTTATGGTATTCGTTTTGTTCATGTTACATTTTTATCATTAGTTTGAATTAATTTGACAGACAGCATTCCCTGATGTGGACCAAGCTAGCATCTTTCAGAGCTGCCAACTCTCACAAATTCACCGTGAGACACACAACTTTTCACACACTCTCACGCCACATCCATTTTGTCATGCACAGAAAAAGACACGGAGACCTATCTCAGCTCTCAGATTCTGTTAATTTTATTACGCAATTCAAACAATAAATGCAGTTTTGGCGCTTTACACGACAGATCCCTAGCGCACGTGAACCGATCATCTCTACTAGCTAATGGAAAAAGAACAAGAACACTGTTGAAAGATACAGTATGCTACAACTTACCAAAATGTATTCCTCATGCATAATATCGACCAATCATTTTTTTTAACTCATCCCTGAACTGAAATGTAGTAGTGGGCTGTATTTCCACACGACTGACATCAGGTTCAAGTACACACAAGCCGGCGCGAGCGCGACTCACTCGTGTACATCAGTTTGGCTGGTGGTAACATTGCCCGCCCGCATACCGCCTCCCATGGCCGAAACTGGTATTACGACACCTGCCGGGCCGGGGCTAGTAATTTAGCATGCTAATTTAGGTTATATCTCGGCAGCACTATAACTTGTCAGTTTTTTAATGACATCATTGCACTTATTTCTTCTCATTCTTTTGATGTGTGTAGCTCATTTTTTTGATGTTTTTACCTCAATTATCCCATATGGCACCTTTAAATTACACATATCAGTGACAAAAAACATAAAAAAATTAAATTATTGTTTTTCAATCATTCTTTCAAGTAGAGAAAATAGTCTGTCCATCCGATATCTGGTCTCTTGTGCTCTCCTCTCCTCTGTTTCCCTCTGAAACCTCATGTCCTCCCTGATAAGCTCAATGAGCTCATCATTGCCTCTGCCTCTCCTTCTGTTGGCGACTGGGGCTGCTGGGGCTTGGGCTGGGGCTGGCCCTTTAACTTGGTCAGCCACTGCTGAACTTGGCCCAGGCTTGTCCTCAGGGATGGAGGCAATTAGGACAGGGGGGTTGTTGGAAGGCCTCTGTCCCAAGACCTCATCCATGTGGACAAACCAGGGCCAAGTTGCAGCAGTGGATTTCCCGCTCACCCCCTCACCAGTCCCAGGACACTTGCAATCCTAAAGGCAGAGCACATACACCATACCTGTTGTTAACAACAAGAACACCACAATACATTACAGCAACGATGTGTCAATTAACTTGCTTACTTTGTACTTTTTCTTTAAGTTGTCCCATTTTCTTTTGGCTTGCAAGGGAGTGACCTTTCCTAGCAGGTCCATTTCCTCCAGAATTCTCCTAAAAAAAGGAGAAAAAGGAAAGACTTACGAAAAATATTAAGATGGGGGTGCAATCTTAACATTAGAAAAATCCCACAGCAGTACATGCATACAAAGTACCCCAGAAATTATATTCCTGGATCGTCAAGTTTGCTTGTTTGCAAGTTTGAAAGACCTTATTGCCTTAACTTATTCTTGTCTCATTGCTGTGGGCTTTGTACAGGGTGAGGGCTAATTTTTGCATACAAGCTATTGCTAGTGGAAATATTACAAATGGTTAATGATTTTACCTCCAAGCCACAGTGGCCGAGTTTTTGGCCCCTGTAAACAGGTGTTCATTTTCGGGTCGTAATTTGATAAATTGAGCCGTCTGCTCCTTGGTCCCTGAAACAAAAAGTATTACAACAGCTTTAGCCTCAGACCACCTGATAAATGAAGCTGTAGTTTTTTTTATTTTTATTTAAGTTCAGGGTTTTTTTTAAAGAAACTCCATGAGGTTTTAACACTTGTTTCGCTAGCTATTTCGGGTAAATTAAATAATGTTTTGCAGACACTGCTATGTTCTCAGGAATGTTTATCTACCACATTTCAGATGGATTCGTGCTGCGGATTTATTTAGTTGAATATACCCTCCTACTTGAACTTCATTGCAAAAAAGTTTTTCTTAATATTTTGTCTTGTTTCTAGTTCAAACATCTAAAAATTCCTAAAATCAAGAAGCATTTAGCCTACTAACTAGACAAATAAAACATTTCTTGTTTTGGGGAAAAATTACTTAAAATTAAGTGAATTTTTGCTTTAAACAAAACCATAACTTGCTAATGGGTTAAGCTAAATAATCTTAAATGAAACGATTATTTTACTTACACCCTTTGGCAGATAATTTTTGCTTATTTTAAGAAAAAGCTCAACACTAAAACGGTACAATAACTTTTGCTTGTCTAGTAGCCTAGAATCTTCTTAATTTAATTTTTTTTTTTTAAATTTATACTAGAAACAAGACCAAAAAACTAAGCAAGAACAGCATTTTATAAATTAGTATTTGCTTCATTTAACTATAGGTGTTCAGGGCATGGTCCATATTTATGCCTTATATTTATCGCTAGCTATTTTAATAAATGAATTCACAATACTTACATTTATAACTGAATTCCTCGACACCTGCCATTTGCACGTCGTCACCTGCTCGTTACAGGCACGCTATGAATTCTGGGGAAGCGTAGGCCGCGAAGTGTCAATTTTTGTACACTTCGTTTGTCCGAGAAACGAAGTGCCATTTGGGGTCGCATTTGAATGACATACCAAAGTTGAGCAGCCTTTGTCGCACCGCGCTGACTCAATTCGCCTTCCAAGCGTGCAGAGTTTGAATTGGGACAGTCTTCTTAGCACTGCTGTGACGCAATCTGCTTTCGAATGCGGCCTCCGAAGGGTGCAGTGTTTGAATTGGGACAGTCTTCGTCGCGCCACTGTGACGCAATCGGCCTTCAAACGCGGCCAATCGGCCTTCAAATACGGACTTCGAAGGACGCAGCCTTCACTTTGGGACACAGCTATATTCTGACTAGAATCTGAGTATGGTGATATCACACTACACATTCATACTATATAGAAAATACTTTTTAACGGTTGCAAAGTAAATTCAAATTCATATGTTGTGCCTACTCAGACAGTATGCAATTTCAGACGCAGCTTGAGTGTTGGTGACAAATCATAGATATATACCCTAGATGTCACCTTGGGGTTCTAAGCATGCGTCAAAACCGCCGCCATCTTAGAACAGGGGTCTTGCCATAAGAAGTAGCTAGGTAACGCTGCTCTCTCTCGCCTTTACTTCGAATTAATGGATGGCGGCGGACTTTTGTGCTGCGCATGATTTTCACGAATGAAATCCGAACTAGAAAGAATGTTTTTTTGGTTTTTCTTTACTTTTTTTTTAACTTTTTTTTATGGAATCAATAATAAATACATGTCTGACCGTTGGAACAAACCAAAAAAACGAGAAAATTGCATTCATGCACAGCAAATTTCAGGAGTTGAAAAATCGTGAGTTAGGCAAAAAAGTGTGAAAGAGTTAATTTTTTGGAGTTATTTTTTTAACTCTGACTACGGTTTGTGTTATTGGATACTCCCCGGCTGTGTTGTATTTTGGAGTTCATTCATTGGTGTTCAGGAGCGTGTTTAACACTACACCTGGAGTTATTCTTGAGAAGTGCGCCACGACATGACCCTGCCGCTGCACAAAGGAATAATGGATTTACGCTTCGTCGTGAGGTAGGTAAAAGTGTAACTTATATAAAACTATTTAAAATATATATTTTCTGACAAACACGTTTGGTCATCGCGTAGCTGTTACGTTACAAGCTAGTTTGTTTACTAATTAACGTCAACGACCATGACAAACTTGCTGTTGAACGCATGTTTAAATTACTTGTTTCAAATTTTGAAATGGTTATTTGCGTGGGTTTTTTATCGATGTAAACGAGTTAACATTAGCTAACCATCTTTCCATTCACCGTGTTTCTGAAAATGAGTGTTTTGCCGTGAAATTGATGCATCAATGCATTACAGGCAATTGAATTGTAACAGCTATGTAACGTTAGGCTATATTAGTGGTGACCCACGATGTGCGTGATTTTCAGCTTATATATTTTTGCATTCTCAATGAATGGTGCTAGATTATATTATGCCTCATGCTGTTGTTTTTGTGATCTTCAGACGACTGTCCTGCAGCAAGCGGTTGAAGGTTACTCCTCCTCAAGTCTGAACCAAATGGATTTGCTCAAATAAAGGCAGTAAATCAAGAGTATGGTGTCCAGTGTAGTAATTTCCACACAAAACATTATTGTGTTAAATAAATGTTAACTCTAAGAAGTGTTAAACTAAACTGGTAACACTGGTAATGAGTTCATATAATTAATTTTAGAGTTACATTTACTCTCTGTAGGATTAGTATTTTAACTTCATTTTAACTCTGAAAAAAGTGTTAAAAATTCAACTCCAAGAGCAGAGTTATTTTAACTCTGCGCTGGAGTCTAATTGATGGTCTCACATGTACACTCAGATTGAGTTGATTTTAACTAACAGGGAGTTTATTCCAAAAACCAGAATTTGCTGTGTGATGATTTATGATGATTTTATTTCCGTTAGACCTTTGTCTACATTGACACT